TGTCTGAAAAATAAGGGGCTTGTTTCATTGATATGGTGCCTCATTAAAAACCTTTTCTCAGGAAAACCTCTTTTCACATTCTTTTAAGAGGAGAAAACCTGGGACAAGGAAAAGAGTACACCGAAACAAATACATTATATTCTAACTAAAATAATGCTTCAAGTGCGTTGCATTCCATGTTCGTGGAATGGATTTTCCTGAGAGTTCTTCTAACTTGTATGCTCCATTCTGCAAGTTGTGCATTATGCGGTAGGGGCCGTCCCAATTCGGTGCCAGCTTCCCCTGAGCCTTGTCTTTTCGCGCCTCTCCTGTGACTCGCCAGACTAAGTCGCCGGTTTGAAATTCGCGAGGCTTGACCTTGGTCCGGTGTTTTCTGGACAACCTGGCTCGACAAGCTTCCATCATGATGAGGGCTTGATCGCGTGCTTCTTCCACTAGGTCGAGTTCCACGTTTAGGGCTTCCTCGTTGATCTGGTTGTTGAACATTGTTCGTCTTAGTGATGGTTCTCCTACCTCTACCGGAATCATGGCATCTGTACCGTAAGTAAGCCGAAAGGGGGTCTCCCGAGTCGAGCTTTGCGGAGTACAACGGTAAGCCCACAAGATTTCTGGCAAATGCTCGGGCCATGCCCCCTTAGCTTGTCCGAGGCGCCGTTTTAGTTCTTTAAGGATAACTTTGTTTGCAGCTTCGGCCTGCCCATTTGATTGGGGGTGCTCTACCGAGGTCATTTTGTGCTTGATACCCAGCTCCGTTAAAAACTCGTTGAAACGGAGGTCGATGATTTGCAAAACATAGAGCGGTTATTATATTTATTAAATAAAATTAAAATTTGACAATGAGAAATTAGTTGTAATTTCAACATGAAAAACACTTATATATTATTTTATAAAATTTGTAGTGAAAAATTTCTTATATATAATAAAATATTTAATCATTTGGATAAAATTTTATATCAACTATAATTTTATTTAATCTTTATCTATAAATTATTAAAATTTTTGTAGTTACTTAGTAAAATCAAATGAAGAGTCAAATAGTTTGTAACCTAGTTCGATGAGTTAGGTTCGAGTTTATTTATGTCACAGACCTTGTCAAACTAAATTAAAAGACCTGCATTTAATTAAAACTTGAATGCCAACCCATTTTAATGGTTCTAGTAAGAATTATTAAGGTTAGCTTGTGGAAGAAATTGGAGTAAAACATGAAGACCTAGTGGAAGAAGTTGTTATCATATTTTAGATTTTTTGGTGCAAATTTGCCTAGGTTAAGGAACATTAATTACCCATTATCAATTAATATGAATTGTCCAATTAACTATTTAAATTATTATATCTCTTCATTACTTTAAAGTCATTTCATTTTTTCATTAATTTTAAATTGATTAAAATATATTTTTAGTTTATATAATTTTATGGACTTTACTTTATAGTTCCTATAGTTTAAAATAAACTTTTTAGTCTCTATATATAGTTTGAAATAAATTTTTTTAGTCCTTATACTTATCTTTTCAATCTTTTTTAGTCCGTATGGTTTAATATAAGCTTATTTAGTCTTTATATTTATAGTTTTTTTAAAAAAAAATTTAGTCTCTATCTTTAATTTTTTTTATAACATTATCTTTTTTGTGTTGATATGATAGAGATATTAATTCGAATTTGTGTGTTTCATATCAAATTTATTTTGTTGAAGTTACTCTAAATTAGGTTTGTCAACGCTTTGTGCTTCCTTTTGCTCTCACTTGCGACACTCTTTATTGAGACACCTTTTTTGTTTACAATCACAAAATTAAAAACCTTTATTATGTTAATCCAAAATAGATGTTATAAAAAATAAATTAACAACAAAGGCTAAAAGGATTAAAAAGTCGTAAGTATAAAAACTAAAAAATATATATCTTAAATTGTAGGGACTAAAATTGATTGAAAAAATATGTATAATATCTAAAAAAAAAGTGTATTTTAAATTATAAGGATTAAAAGATAAAATAATTGAAACTATATCGAGTAAAATTGATTAACATTTCAAATTTAACACTTTATTTATAAAAGCTCACCTAAACAGTTTCCTCCCTTAATCCTCTTTCGATTATTCCTTAACATTTTTATGTGATTCTTAAGTTTAAACTATAGTTCTAAATGTCTATTTTCTAACCCAATAATCGGAGCTCAATTTCATTAATCACATGTAGAGAAATCACATAAATACTGAGATATATTCATACAAGAATTTTTAGAATCAAGCACGACTTACATCCAAACTCTCTTCTTCCAATCTAATCAGTAAAAGTGTTCTATAACATACAATTAACATTTTAAATCACTCAATTTACACATACCCATTAATATCTTTACAAATTATCACAACAAGTTCCCTTAGGATTTCCCATAGGAAACCACGGGAGATCACCCAATTATAATCCAAAACATACAATTAATCATACATTTAAATAATTCATATAATTATAAATGTGTAAAAAGAACAAGTGACCAAACAAAAGCAATTAGACAGAACCCTTCATACATAGACATATAATAGAGATAGGATTAGGGGTCAATCCACTACCCGACATACATCTCATGTCCAAAATGAGACTATTCACTCTCTCTTACTTACAAACTCTAATTCTCCTACAAACTCTAGTTTTCCTTCCCATTCTTTAGAGTGTGTACTAATATGACAAATGAGAAACATAAAAATAAAAGAATTGTTGTAATTCTCCTTTTAAAAACTTAACCCACACTTAATCCTTCGCTAAAAATATTTTAATCATAATTCTTTTTTTCTTTCCACCAAATATTAAAACTTATAAATAAAGAATATATTAATTAAATATATTTCTCCTAGTCCAAATAATTATAACAAAATACAATAATTAATAATTAACTAATATATAATATATAAAATATATATATTTCTTCCAACACAATTATAATTAAAATAAAATTTATAAAATTATAATAAAAACACATTTTTCTCCAAATACTTATTATAACAAAATATCATAAAAATACATATTTATTTAATAATTATTATATAAAACATTTTTTTACAAATATTTATTATTTCATTAAAATACTCATAATTATTAAAAAATATCTAAAATATATTTTATAAAATCCTTTAATTAATCAAAATATTTTTTTTAATAGTTTTAGAAATATTGAAACGTTATAAGAAATGTTTGGGTGAGTTTGTATGAAATAAAATGTTCAATTTGAAATTAATAAAAAAAAAGCTTTACAATAACAAAGAGCTAGATAATAATTAATTTGAGTGGTATGGTAATGGCCTATTAATATTGATCGATAGCGACTAATTAATGCATCTTAAAATGAAGAATATATATATATATATATATTAACATATGTAGTAAAAATTGTTATTGTTATTTTTTACAAGTCAACGTGATTAACTAATTATTAGATAATATTTTTACGGATTCGTTGATATTTTTAAATTTTAAATAATATATTAATAGTAAATAAATATTACTTAATTTTGAAAATTAAATAAAGTAATATTGTTTTTATTTTGAAAATTACATATTGTGGAAGTGCATAGACTTAATTTGTTCCAACTTTCCAACATTATATTTTTATTCTTATGATGACTTAAAATAAACGCACACTTGCAAGCTAAAAGCCTAAAGCAGTAAAACCTCCCCCAAAAACACGGCATAAAGTGACAAAAAAAACCTATGGCACGAGAAGTTTCTGAATTTTGTCTGCTAAGCTTTCTAGTTTAGTAGTTTTCCCAGCATCCAATCTCTTTAGCTAGTTCCTGCTCCTTTTCTGCTACAAGCTTGAAACAAAGATCTCAAGTTTCAAGGAAAACAAAGAAATGAGACTTGGATTTGCTTCTGGGAGCTTCATCCTATGCTCCTTACTTGTCTTTTTGGTAACACCCGCTATGCTTTTTCAATTAAATTAAATCATATCTTTCTTCACTTGAAACTTTCTTTTTATCTCCATATATACAGATCTTGCAACTTAGGTTTCTTCAACTGCTTCTTGAAAAAAAAAATCTTTTTTTTTTGTTATCTTTCTTTTTTCCAAGCAACTTGGTTCATTTGTTTTATTCCTTGTTGATCTGATAATGGCTGTTTTTTCATGAGAAAATTGTCCATGATCCTTTCTCTTGTTTTTTCAATTTATTCATCTTCTTCGTGGATGTCAGATTCTACAAGACAGTGGAGCTAGAAAGATAGCTACAACATCTGAGATAGACATTCATTTGAAGGAAATATCCTATGACTTGCAAAAGCTTGCTACAGTGAGTCTTGTACTTGACAATATTATTCAGCTTGAAGGCTCTGGTATAGAAAAGAATAAGAGGCATGTCCATAAAGATGATGATGAGGATGATGATGATGATGATGATGAAGAAGAAGAAGAAGAAGAAGAAGAAGACAACGAAAAAGATGATGATGATGATGAGGAGGAGGGGGATGATGATGAACACAGAAAGATCACTGGAAAGGATGTGCATGCTTATAAGCCATCCCATGTGGATCACAATCACATGGACCTTGAACTGAATGTGTTTTTCACCCCAAAAGATTTAAAGGTTGGGAAAATAATGCCAATCTATTTCTCCAAGAAGAATTCTTCAACATCTCCAAAATTTCTGACCAGAGAAGAAGCTGACAAGATTCCTTTCTCATCAAAACACCTACCATCCCTTCTCAAATTCTTCTCCATGTCAAAACACTCTCCCCAAGCCAAGGCCATGAAGTACACACTCAAACAATGTGAATTTGAATCCATGGAAGGAGAGACCAAGTTCTGTGCCACTTCCTTGGAGTCCTTGTTTGACTTTGCACACTACCTGTTTGGTTCAAATGCACAGTTCAAAGTTCTGACCACTGTCCATCTCACAAGCTCCATACCCCTTTTACAAAACTACACAGTCTCAGAAGTGAAAGTGATTTCAGCTACAAACGTGATAGGGTGTCACCCAATGCCTTACCCCTATGCAGTTTTTTACTGCCACAGCCAGCACAGTGACACCAATCTCTATGAAGTCTTGGTAGAAGGTGAGAATGGAGGGAGTGTTCAAGCTGCAGCTATTTGCCACATGGACACCTCTAAGTGGGACCCAGACCACGTGTCCTTTCGTGTGCTCAATGTTGAGCCAGGAACCTCCCCTGTGTGTCATTTCTTCCCTTCTGATAATCTAGTCTGGGTGCCTCTCCATAACTAGATCCATGTTCTTCATCAAAGTTTGTTCGGTTTCTGTAACTGTGCCTGGAATAACCTTAGTTTTAGAATTGGTGTACTAGGAAATGGCTTCTTCATGAAAAACTATGTATCTATGTTAATAAAGATGTTATTTTGTTGTGTCTTTGAATAGAACCTTAAAGTAATTTCTTTTTACCGCTAAAAATTACAATGGCAGTAAAATGTTTAAATTTAAGATTATGCTATTATTTTTTTTTAGATCAACGTACTTTACCATTTATGGAAGAAGCATTAAAGTTGGCCTAACTAACTAGAAAGTATAATATAAGTTAGTATTAATCATATGGGGCAGAGGAAAGACATTCATACACCAATATTGAACAGTCATCAGCTATCAATTAACCAACAGTTCAACACCCACATTCTTCATATATGAACTGCATATATAAGAAGAGGTTCTATCAAGCTGTGTTCAAACTTCAAAGGGTAATAAGGATAGAGAATATGGTTTTGGTAGAACGTGGTTTGTGGCAATATTTTCTCACTTCTGCTTGTAGTAGTTTTACAGGACAGTATCTGTTGCAAGCTGTTGATGTCAGGCAAAATTTTCGCTAGCTTTTTTTGCAGCTTTGTTGTCGCTACATTAAAATCTTAATAAGCATTAGGTAAAGGATCAACTTGTGACATGTAAAGGTGGGATTCTTGTGGTTACGGATATCGAGCCACAATTGAAGATTTCTTTAGTTTTATAATTAAATTTCAGGTCTCAGTAACATTTTATGCAGACTCTCGCTCACTAAGGACCATAAATTACAGACCGTATCACCTACAAAAGTATGTAACAAGTAAAGGTGAGAGATCAAATGCAAATTAAATTAGAATATCAACGTGAACAAGAATCGCATTCGGTATTCATAAACTAAAACAAATATATAAATGGGTAGTGTAGTTAAATGCTACACATGCTTAATCTCCCTTGATCAATGTCTCACGCTCAAATTTTGTGTGAGAAAAAAAAATAGCTAAAAAAAATTACCTCTACCTCTAACATGGACAAAAAAACTAAAAATTATGGCAAATACAATCACCTGGTCGAAATTCAGCAAAATTAAATACTACAAAATATCCCCTGTTCAATTGTAGGCCTTACAGCAATGCATGAACTATCTTTAGCTTGAAATCGGCAATCAACAACATAAAATAAATAAAAGGCAGAAATTGCTGCTTTTTGAATAAGGATGGTTATATGGGCAATACAATACAGTTGATAGATATTGCCATATTTTTTTGTCCACCCGTTGTTGACTTCTCCACAAGGCAGACCAATGCGTCACAATTCAGCTTATATTGACCAGCAGGCGGGGATCTCCAACTAATATCACCCGGGCCCGTGTCTTGGAGCTGACACGACCACACAATCTCCAACAACATAATACTCAAAACATCATTAAAACTTTCTCCCAAGGGTACCACAATAATCTGGAACCAATAATGCCTCCCATCTACTATCTAACCCATCATCTCGTAGATTTGCTAACAGCCACAACATGGTTTCTAAATTAAAGAATTCCTGATGTTTTGCAGTTGGTAACAACTAACAACGAATACCAGACTGCCCTTGCAATAGGACAAAAGTGAAACACGTGTATGGCTCCACCACATCGAGCACAAGAAGCATCATCCCACGTAATATTTAGAGCTTGCTTTAACATCAGTAAGCAAGGCATTAGAAGCAAGTTTCCGAAGGAACAACCTCAAATGCTCAACACCAGATTAATTTAAACAGCATATCCCTCTCCCCTTCAAGCCCATATTCAGCACCAAATAAGTAAAGACAATTATTAGCATCCACAACAACCTGTATCATGTGTGCTTGGTTCTGGAGGGTCCAAAACGGCCGTTCCACTTTTGGAACGGGCCGTTCCGAATTAGCTGAGGCAGATTCCTATAAATAGGAGGCCTTACTTCTCATTTTCTCACATCTCTCATTCTCTCTTTCTATTCTCTTCTGTTCTTTTTTCTTCCCCTCTTCTTCTCTCTGAAGACCATGGGGCACTTAGAGGAGGAGACAGTTTGGGTGGAGTGGTAGCGTATGCTTCCAGGAAATTGAGAATTCATTAGAGGAATTATCTTACCCATGAATTTAAGTTAGCCGTTGTAATATTTATACTAAGATTTGGAGACACTACCTATATGGTTCTAAGCTTCAGGTATTTAGTGATCATAAGAGCCTTAAATATATTTTGACCAAAGGAGTTGAATATGAGACAAAGGAGATAGTTGAAATTTCTTAAGGACTGGGATTTTAATCTTAGTTGTTATCTAAGTAAAGCCAATGTGGTGGTAGATGTTTTAAGTAGGAAACCTCTACATTTATCTTCCCTTATGGTTAGAGAGATGAATCTTTCAGCTCAAATTAGGGATTTAAGTTTGGCATGTGAGATTACTCCTAGTAGTGTGAAACTAGGTATGACTCGAGTAATAAGTGAATCATTAAAAGAAATTAGAGAAACACAATTAGTTGATTCATTTTGGTGACAAGACTTGGAGACTGAGTATGGGTACGTAGTGAACTTACACTTAGGAACTTGATCTTTGGAGAGGGTCATAGAAGTAAAGCTAATATTGTGAAAGATGCCTTGAGTAGGATGATCATTCATCTATCATTTTTGATGATGTAAGGGTTGGATTTGATTGAGGAGGTTAGAGACTTAAGCATGATGTGTGAGCTCACCCTTAAGAGCATTGGATTGAATATGTTGGAAAAGACTAATAGATTAATGGATGAGATTAGAAAAGCCCATGAGTCAGATCCTTTCTTGGTGAAGTGAACCAAGTGGAGGAGTTTAGTACGAGTATAGATAACCCTTTTTCTAGTAGGATTTGATGTTGTTTTGAAATCCAAGAATAAAGTTTGGGTGCTTAGTAATCCTGAATTTAGGAAGATGATCTAAGAGGAAGGACATAAGAGTACTCTTAGCATTCATTTAGGAGCTACTAAGATGTATCAGAGTGGCGCATCGGAAGCGTGGTGGCATAAGGTGAAGAAAGGAGCAGAGGAATTTGTGTACTCGTGTGTAGTATGCCAGAAGTCTAAGGTAGAACACTAGAAGTCTTTAGGATTTTTATAGCTTTTAGACGTCCCATTTTGGAAGTGAGATGGTGTGTAGATAGACCTTGGTTATAGGTTTGCCTATAGATGCTTAAGAAATTTGATTCTTTTTGGGTTATAGTGGATAGACTCACCAAGTTTTCTTGTCTTACCCTTATTGATAATAGACATTCATTAGAGAGATTGATAGAGTTGGACATCAGTGAGGTAGTGAGATTATATAGGTTTTCCTACTAGTATAGTTTCTGAAAGAGGACTGAAGAGATTACGACTTACGAATTAGAAAGCAACACATCCACTATTTCATTGACTCAACATTTCACTTATCACATCTCATCATATCTCATGTCGCATTATTTCACAATATCATATCACAGATCATATGTTCACCTTTCACATTCTCACATCATGTTCACATAGTCTCATACAAGAAACTTCTCATCATCATATATGTTAGAATAGTATGTAAGTCATAACAAGTAATTATCCAAAACATGAAGCCATCATCAATTTTACATATATTGCCTCAAAATCATCCAAAAATCATATTCCTAATTTTACTTCATAGGGTTTCCCACAAGAACCCATAGAGCACTCGAATTCATATCAAAGCTTGTCTATTTTCAAAATTAATCACATATTCATACATTTCATTCAACAAGGAATAGAATAAAACAATCAAAAAGTAAAATAGAAAATATTCATATTTTTCCTGTTCCTAGAAGCATGCATCAAGCAAGGGATTGGGGGCCAATCCTGCTACCCAACAATTATTCCCACACTCCCAAGTGAGGTTTCTCACTTTCCCCTTACCTGGATACGCAGAAGACGAAGCTAGAGCAACGAATTGGGCCTAAGGCCCAGCGAAAAATGGGCTGTTACATGGAACAGTCTCTCAATACATAGGACAAACAGATATGGAGAGTAGGGTCTCCTTGTCTAACTCGTCTCTTAGGTCTGAATTCGTGAAGAGCCTCTCCAGTCTCCATTCCATAGCATGCACATCCTCGGGGATGGAATTCCCATACAACTCCAAACCATATCAATAAAATTTCCCATGCACCCAACATATCCATAAAACTATCACGAATAAATCATCATTTAAGTCAATATATCCATCAAATATCATGAATAAATGACCATTTATGTCTTCTCTAAATCAATTTTAATACCCATTTCACCTTTAGCTCCTCTCTTAAGTCTCATGGAATAGAAAACTCTCGACAATAATAATCCTCTACTCTGACAGTGAAGTATAAATGTAGATATTTTTTCATAAAAGGTTGATGAATACGAGCATGAGTAATCATTCCATTGATCCACCAAGTTTAATACATTTATTATTACTTTTTATTTCACTTTATTATATATTTATTAATTACACTTAATATTAATATTTTTTATTTATAGAAATTATAATTACAATAATAAGGTTTCAACTTAAAATCTTGTTTTTGTCACTTCAACTTCTCAGTGTTGATATTAGTGGCTTATATTAATATTTTAATTTAGTTTCGTATATTTGGATTTAGTTGAACTTTGATTTTAATCTTGGTTGAATTCCATATTTTAATGTTTTATTTATATTTTTTTCTCCTTGTTTAGGTTATAATTTTGGCTCTAAATTGTGATCGAGGGGATCATGGTGTCTATGAAAGAATAAAAAACAATATTTTCATGAAGAAGTCGTGTCCTAATTTGGTTTGGATCATGGAAGAATTTGAACTTAAATAGGAAGACATTGTCCTAGTCACAGGTGCGATATTTTGAACATAAATAAGTTCAGGGTCGAAATGACATAAGATTGACGCAAAAGTTTTAAGGATATATCTAACAAAATTTTATGAAGGTAATGAAAACAGTTCAACTATTTGAAGGATCAAATAAATCAAGACGTAGTAACCATGTTTTTTAACTCAGCTAATCTTATGGAATTAATTTGTAATTGGATTTAGGGATGACAAATAAATTTGTACCCGTAAATAATATCTGAACTCACCCTGACTTTGACAGGGAATACCCGGTTTAGCCGAGTACGAGTACGGGTAAAACCCGATATATTAAATCGGGTACAGGTACGGGT